TTTCCAAAACCAATTTCCATGTTTTTACTTTTTTCACCTATTCTCAGAATTAACACATTTGAATCAAATGTGATTTTATAGGAAACAAGAAATGGCTTTGTAAGTTGTTTTAAAGATAAAATATTCAGTCATCAGTGATTTTACAGGAGAATATATTACCTTTTATGGCAAGCACATCATAAACGGGCCAATTTACAAACATCAGCACACAGCCTAATATTAAGTAATGTCTGTGAACAATTTTTTTGTTGTTTTCAGAGCAGTGCTTCTCAACACTTGGAGCTGCGGCTTGGTGCCAGGCCTGAGCCTTCCCCCTGCTGGGCTTTGGCATTGACAGTAAATTTTTTTATGTTTGGTGGCACTGACTGCTCCCATCCTCTGAGCTGCAACTTAACAGCTGTCACCGTCCTAAACAATGTGGGTAATTTACTAAAACTTCAAGATGCAAAATATGGTGCAGCTCTGAATAGAAACCAATCAGCTTCCAGGTTTTATTGTCAAATCTTAATTAGTTAGAAGCTGATTGGCTACCATGCACAACTGCACCAGATTCTGAGTGCACCAGTTTTAGTAAATCTCCCTCAATGTGTTCATCTTGTAGGAGGTACCTACCTCATAGACAGTACCTAGTCTCCCAGGTAGGTGCAGAGTTTGTAAGCAAACAGTGCCGTGGCTCCGAAGAGGAATTAGTGCTGGAACACAGGAAAGACATGCTTTTCTTGGGGGGGGTGAGAGGCGAGCACAAGTCACTCTATGCCTCGAATTTGATCCTGAGCATTTCCCTGTTTCCACCAGTGTAAGGGGCACACTAACCATAGTGTAAAGGGGTGCACTGACTGCCATGTAAGGGGTAATACCACCATGTAACACACTGACCACCATAGGTATACTGATCAACATGTAATGGAGCATGAGGATCACCAACATGAAAGGGCACGCCACTGGTGTATTGGGACACACTGACCACCAGTGTAAAGATGGCCATTCACTCTACATGCTGACAATCTCTGTACGGTGTCCTTTATATTTAACAAAACAATATAATAACAGGACACACCTAATCTATCCAAGATTGTAAAATCAGTTTGTATAATGTATGGTGAGCTTAAAGGATAAGTTCACCTTTCAACAAAAAATAAGAAATGCACATTTTTGTGCAGGTAAAAAAAAATGTGTACTTATTATTTTTTGTTGTAGGAGCCTGTAAAGCATTGTACCAGCAATCAGCAGATCACTGATGTCATGCAGGTCTCCTGCAGACATGTCAGTGTATATGCTTGCCTGTACCTCATACAGGCAAACTGATGCTAAATGACAGGAAGAAGCGGTGAACTACCACAACAGCATTCACAGCGCTGTGGTAGTTCATTGGGAACTACAAGCTGACAGACGCTAAGGCTGTCAGGACTCGCAGTTTCTCATTCACAAAACACTGTGAATAAGTGACACGGCTGGGCGGGCAGAGCCCCGCACAGCCACTTTTTTAAAATTGTGACAGCTAGCGGGGGGAGAACATCCCCCACTAGCTGTCACAATGGGGGATCAGAGGGGAACAGAGCTGGTCATTTTATAACATGTGGGTGTAATATGTTATGAAAGGTGAACTTATCCTGTAAAGGAATTCTCTGACCACCAGTGTAAGATGGCACATTGACCACCAGTGTAGGGGGCACACCTAATACCAAATAAGGAGAACACACTAATCACCAGCATAAGGAGGCGTACTAACAACCAGCATAAGGGGCATACTGACCACCAACATAAAGGGGTATAATGAACTCCAATGTAAGGGGGATTACTGACCACCAGTGTAAGAGTCCACACTGATCACCCGTAAAAAGGGGGCACAATGAACATCATTGTAAGAGAGTACTCTGACCACCAATTTAAAAGGGGCATACTGGCCACCAGTGTAAGGGGGGCTTGCTAACCAACATGAAGGGGGACACACTGCCTACCATGGATTGGGGCACACTGACTAGCATGTAATAGGGCACACTGACCATCATGTAAAATGGGCACATTGACAACAAGGTAAGGGGCACACTGACCACCATATAAAGGGACACACTAACCTTCCTGTAAGGGGACACATTGACCAGCAGTGTAAGACAGCACACTGACCACCAGTATAAGAGAGACATACTGACCAGCAATGTAAGACAGCATACTGACCACCAGTATAAGAGAGACATACTGACCAGCAATGTAAGACAGCACACTGACCACCAGTATAAGAGAGACATACTGACCAGCATTGTAAGACAGCACACTGACCACCAGTATAAGGGAGACACACTGACCAGCAGTGTAAGGCAGCACACTGACCACCAGTATAAGAGAGACACACTGACCAGCAATGTAAGACAGCACACTGACCACCAGTATAAGAGAGACACACTGACCAGCAATGTAAGACAGCACACTGACCACCAGTATAAGAGAGACACACTGACCAGCAGTATAAGAGAGACATACTGACCAGCATTGTAAGACAGCACACTGACCACCAGTATATGGGAGACACTCTGACCAGCAGTGTAAGACAGCACACTGACCACCAGTATAAGAGAGACACACTGACCAGCAGTGTAAGACAGCACACTGACCACCAGTATAAGAGAGACATACTGACCAGCATTGCAAGACAGCACACTGACCACCAGTATAAGGGAGACACACTGACCAGCAGTGTAAGACAGCACACTGACCACCAGTATAAGGGAGACACACTGACCAGCAGTGTAAGACAGCACACTGACCACCAGTATAAAAGGGACACCTGACAAGTAGTGTAAGGGGGCATACTAACCACCATATAAGGGGACAACCTGACCACCAGGTAAAAGGGGACAACCTGACCACAATGTCGTAGAGCACACTGACTGCCATGTAAGAGGACACACTGATCGCCAATGTAAACGGGTACTATGAACACCATGTAATAGGGAACACTGAGCAGTAGCGTAAGTATATAGAGGGCGCACTGACCACAATGTAAGGGAGCACACTAATCACAATGTAAAGGGGTACACTTAACAGCTTGTAAAAGGGGCAAAGTGACCACAATGAAATAGAGCATACTATTCTGGCACACTGACCACATCCTGTAATGTTGTCATTAGAGATGCTGGTCAGCTTCATGTCTATCATGGCTTTGCAGTGTATCTAGCATGTCCATATTCACGTTCCAAAACTTTGTAGCCATAATGGACCTCCTGGTCTTTGAACTTAGGTCAGTTAGATTAGAAAGGTCAGTAGGGGGCTATTGGATAAGACAAATTACATAGGTAGAGATTAGTATAGGGTTGTAGGCAATGGCAGTTCTGGTAAAATTGATGTAATCCTTACTGAATTTCGGGTACGTAGCAAACAGCTGCGCTTCTTAGAGAAGGGTGGTTACATTTTTTGATCCTTTGATACATCATAATGCTACTGCAGCCTTTTGCAGTCTGTCCCTGCCATCATGCCCCACTGTAATAACTGCAGCTTATATTTCATAGGACATATTTCCTAAATGTTGCTGACTGCCACTGTTTTTTTTGGAATATACCTCATCATAGAAATGTATAGTTTGGGGAAGTGTGTAATAGGGTAGGAACAATGATATAAAATCTGCATGAACTGTTTCTATGTGTCTGAACAAAAGCTAATATGAGGACATGTCTGGCTTCTCAGACCACGAGGGCCACAGCCACTAATCAGACTGAAATTGTCAGACTGCAGCTGCCACAACACAGAATCTGTGACCACTGTGAGTGGCAAAAGGTATTACACATTCTGGTAAATAAGGCTTGTTATACATTTTATAAAATAACTGAAGGCTGCCCAAAAAAATATTATCTTTTTTGTATATTCTGTATTCAATAAATGAATTCAGAGTTTACAACAAATACATGTGTAACAATGTGCACCATATCAGAATATGGAATACATGTCAAATGAATGAACAATAAAGATTAAATGTGTCAATGAAAAGGATAAATAATATATTAATCAACAACAAGTCAGGGCAAGTAGAAACTAAAAAAAAAGAATTACCTCCTTTCTTAGATTGAAAATGTTAACAAAGAGAGAAAAAAACAAAAAGGCAGATGTTCAAAAGTTAAAATTTCGAAAGGGAGAAGGTTTTTTACCTTAACACATTTTCTACAATAAGGTAAAAAAACCTTCTGTAATTAGGACCCCCCCCCCCCCCCAGCAGCCCCTTATACTTACCTGAGCCTGATCTCATACCAGCACTGTGCCTAAAGCAGAGCAGCATCCCTCTCCACTCTCCCTCCTCACTGGACATGGAGGCAGCAGCAGCAGGAGTCACTGGCTCCCGCTGCTGTCAATCACAGCCTGTGGGGAGGGCATAGAGACTGGTCCAAGCTGCACTCTGTGTGTCAATGGACACAGAGAGCCTGGGTCTGGATCGATTGAGCTTGCTATGGGGGCACTTGTAGGGAGGGTGAACCCAGGAGCGTCAGTGGGGGACCCCAGAAGAAGAGGATTGGGGCTGCTCTGTGCAAAACCATTGCACAGAGCAGATAAGTATAACATATTTATATCTTTAAAATAAAAAAATGTTTTCCTTTACAATTACTTTAACCACTTTACCCTCCTTCCTGACAGGCCATTTTTTGCGTTACTTTAACTGACAATTGCGCAGTCATGAAACACTGCACCCAAATGAAATTTACGTCCTTTTTTTCCCACGAATAGAGCTTTCTTTCCGTGGTATTTGATTGCCTGTGCGTTTTTTTTCTACGCTATACAAAAAAAAGACCGTCAATTTTTTAAAAAATATTATTTTTGGCTTTAAACATGTCCAGTAAAAAAAAATTTAAAAAAATCAAATGTCATAAATTTAGGCCAAAATGTATTCTGCTACATGTCTTTGCTAAACAAAAAATCCCAATACGTGTAAATTAATTGGTATACGTGAAATTTATACCTTTTACAAATGGCGGTATATATACTGGGATTTTTTTTTTTTTACTAGTAATGACAGCAATCAGCGACTTATAGTGGGACTGCGGTGGGCCTTCTGACACTGGAGGGAACTGACTTGGTGTCACTGACATCTCCAGTGACACCAATACAGTGATCAGTGCTAATATAAAGCACTGACACTGTACTAATGGCATTGGGCAGGAAGGGGTTAACATGTAGAGCGATCAAAGGGTTAACTGTGTGTGTTTTACTGAGGGGCTGTGTGTTTTACTATGGGGCCATATGTTTGTGCTTCACTGTAAGCACTCTGTTTTGTATGGCTGTACTATGCACAGCCATGCAAAACAGTGCAGGAGCTGACAGGACAGCACTGTAGGAAATACTCGGCAATCACCGGGTGCTGGAGAGTAACCAGCGGCCGGGACCCGGTGATTGACAGCTCGGCTGCGCCCCCTACCCGGAAATGCAAAATCACGTATATACAGGTGAAACTCGAAAAATTAGAATATCGTGCAAAAGTTCATTTATTTCAGTAATGCAACTTAAAAGGTGAAACTAATATATGAGCTAGACTCATCACATGCAAAGGAAGATAGTTCAAGCCGTGATTTGTCATAATTGTGATGATTATGGCTTACAGCTCATGAAAACCCCAAATCCACAATCTCAGAAAATTAGAATATTGTGAAAAGGTGCAATATTCTCAGCTCAAAGTGTCCCACTCTAATCAGCTAATTAAGCCATAACACCTGCAAAGGGTTTCCTGAGCCTTTAAATGGTCTCTCAGTCTGGTTCATTAGGAATCACAATCATGGGAAAGACTGCTGACCTGACAGTTGTGCAGAAAACCATCATTGACACCCTCCATAAGGAGGGAAAGCCTCAAAAGGTAATTGCAAAAGATGTTGGATGTTCCCAAAGTGCTGTATCAAAGCACATTAATAGAAAGTTATGTGGAAGGGAAAAGTGTGGAAGAAAAAGGTGCACAAGCAGCAGGGATGACCGCAGCCTGGAGAGGATTGTCAGGAAAAGACCATTCAAAAGTGTTGGGGACTTTCACAAGGAGTGGACTGAGGCTGGAGTCAGTGCATCAAGAGCCACCACACACAGACGGATCCTGGACATGGGCTTCGAATGTCGTATTCCTCTTGTTAAGCTGCTCCTGAACAACAAACAATGTCAGAAGTGTCTTACCTGAGCTAAAGAAAAACAGACCTGGTCTGTTGCTCAGTGGTCCAAAGTCCTCTTTTCTGATGAGAGCAACTTTTGCATCTCATTTGGAAACCAAGGACCCAGAGTATGGAGGAAGAATGGAGAGGCACACACTGCAAGATGCTTGAAGTCCAGTGTGAAGTTTCCACAGTCTGTGTTGATTTGAGGAGCCACATCACCTGCTGATGTTGGTCCACTGTGCTTCATTAAGTCCAGGGTCAACGCAGCCATCTACCAGGAGATTTTGGAGAACTTCATGCTTCCTTCCGCAGACGAGGGAATGCTGACTTAATTTTCCAGCAGGACTTGGCACCTACCCCCACTGCCAAAAGCACCAAAATCTGGTTCAATGACCGTGGGATTACTGTGCTTGATTGGTCAGCAAACTCGCCTGACCTGAACCCCATAGAGAATCTATGGGGCATTGCCAAGAGAAAGATGAGAGACATAAGACCGAACAATGCAGAAGAGCTGAAGGCCGCTATTGAAGCATCCTGGTCTTCCATAACACCTCAGCAGTGCCACAGGCGGATAGCTTCCATTTCACGCCGCATTAAGGCAGTAATTGCTGCAAACGGGGCCCAAACCAAGTACTGAGTACATATGCATGCTTATACTTTTCAGAGGTCTGATATTGTTCTATGTACAATCCTTGTTTTATTGATTGCATGTAATATTCTAATTTTTTGAGATTGTGGATTTGGGGTTTTCATGAGCTGTAAGCCATAATCATTATTATTATTATTATACAGGATTTATATAGCGCCAATAGTTTGCGCAGTGCTTTAAAATATAAAGGAGACAGTACAATTACAATACATTTCAGTACAGAAGGAATGTGAGGGCGCTGCTCGTGGAGCTTATAATCTAAAGGAAGGGGGAGGTGATACAAAAGGTGATAGCTGCAGGGGGATGATCTTGCGGAGGTGATTCAAGTACTGTTCTTAGGTGGAGGTGGGGTAGGCTTCCCTGAAGAAGTGAGTTTTCAAAGATCGCCTAAAGGTAGACAGGGTGGGGGCTGACCAGACATGCTGTGGTAGGGAATTCCAGAGGATGAGAGAGGCTCTGGAGAAGTCCTGGAGGCGAGCGTGGGAGGAGGTGATGAGGGAGCTAGAGAGGAGGATATCATGGGAGGAGCGGAATGGGCGATTTGGGCGGTATCTGTGGATGAAGTTGGTGATGTAGCTAGGGGCAGTGTTGTGGATGGCTTTGTGAGCTGTGGTTAGTATTTTGAATTTTATACGTTGGGTTAGTGGAAGCCAGTGAAGGGATTGGCAGAGAGGGGCAGCAGTCGCTGATCGGTTGGTAAGGTGTATGAGTCTAGCAGCAGCATTCATAATAGACTGAAGGGGGGATAGCCTGTGTTACGGTAGACCAGTGAGGAGGGAGTTGCAGTAATCAAGGTGGGATAAAACCAAGGCGTGGATAAGTTGTTTTGTGGTGTCATTGGTCAGGAAGGGGCAGATTTTGGAAATGTTCCGGAGGTTGAGGCGGCAGGATTTAATCACTGAGTGGATGTGGGGCCCAAAGGAGAGGTCCGAGTCTAGGATTACGCCTAGCACCCTGGCACGAGGGGAAGGACCAATGGTTGTGCTGTTGATCTTAATGGTAAGGTCGTGAGTGGGGGATCGGGGAGGAGGAAATATTACAAGCTCAGTTTTTGAAAGATTGAGTTTAAGGTAGTGATGTGACATCTATGCTGATATGTCGCTTAGCAGATTTGTGATATGTGAGGAGATTGAGGGGGTGAGCTGGGGAGTGGAGAGATAGATCTGGGTGTCATCAGCATAGAGGTAATAAATATCACAGTGCAGCACTGACAAAACTAAATAATAAATAAATAAGTATGTTATGGATGTACTGCATGGGTATCTGAAAAAGGTGATCCAATATGGCCCCCACACCGGAAATGACGTCACCACGTTCCCGGAGGTTCCTCCCCGCGTACCGACGGGTTGCGTCACGTTTACCACGTGACTTCCTCAGGGTAACGCCCATAGTGGCCGGAACTTCATTTTATAGGGGAGCTGACATCCAACATGGTGACGTCATTTCCGGCGTGGGGGCCATATTGGATCACCTTTTTTAGATACCCATGCAGTACACCCATAGCATGTGGTAGATGAGCTGAAGACAAGAAGATTACTATGTGAGTGGGCATTTTTATTTGGATTATATACTTAATAAACAGGTTACACTATGGAGGGTCTCTGTTTGTATTTTACTATGATCCTGGGAGGAGCTGGCTGCTAGTTGGTTGAAGGCTGGAGATGCTTGCCACCATTGAGGGGAACCCTGGGAGGAGTCTGTCCTTGTAGGATCGGTTGATCCCCAAAGCGAGCTGGCCCTTTGGGGTCTAAGTAAGGAGGTGAGGGGCATTCTGGCTATTGGAGGATTGTCACTTGTGAATCACCCACACAGCACTACAACTGCATGAGAGTGAAGAGGGAGTACCACTATATGTGTTGTTATTTTTGGGACTATTTATAACCATTTGTCCACAGTTGGTCTGCACATTTTTTTTGTGTGTCATTTCACAGTTTTGTGTGTATAGTTAATATTTCACTATGTGCACTGTATATTCCCAGTGAGAGGGGATTCACGTATTACACAATCATCTATATATCATTATACACTGATATTTATTTATATGTGGATCTCCCTGATGTGGATATCAAGGAGACTGAATATTATGTACTAAGTTGGTTTATTATGATCACTATTCATTTACTTATTTATTTATTATTTAGTTTTGTCAGCGCTGCACTGTGATATTTATTGGTTTATTCACTTATTGGGTATAAGGTTAGTGTCAGCAGCTTTGGGGTTAGGACTCTATTTAAGCGCAGGAGGATCCTCGTTATATCAGCATAGAGGTGGTATTGGAAGCCATGACACAATTATGACAAATCACGGCTTGAACTATCTTGCTTTGTATGTAATGAGTCTATCTCATATATTAGTTTCACCTTTTAAGTTGCATTACTGAAATAAATGAACTTTTGCATGATATTCTAATTTTTCGAGTTTCACCTGTATATGTGATTTTGCGCACCCGTGCCGCCCTGTAGCAGTACTTCTGCTATAGGGTGGACCTGAAGTGGTTAAATATAATAACTGACTCCTTGCTACTTGTACTCAGTGTTCCCCAGCCTGATCATGCATAAATACAGAATGACAGAAAATTGACCACAGCTCCGTTTGGTGGAATAAGAAAAAAACTTTCTTCTCTCTCATTTAAATAAAGGTACATAAAATACATTTTGGCAGATTTTGATAGGGCCACCGAGGGACATACAAGTATAGTTGTAATGTAATATGTACTGGCAAAACATACATAAACATTTCTTATTTATTTTACGAGAATTTCTGCATTATTTGGTATCCTAATGTACACAGGTCCAATACTAAATTTACATCACAGTTTTAAAAGGGCTTTAATGCAATAGTAAAGACACTACCCAGTACTCTGTTGCTTTAAAGGAGTAGTACAGAAAAAGCTCTTTTGGCTATACTTCTCCTGTGGATCACAGCTATGCAGTTCGGCTGTTGGCTGATGTCACTCAGCTGATCCAGGCTGGGGAAAGATCCCATCTTCAAAGTCGGGATCCACCCAGGAGTCTGAAGCAGCAGCTGGCTACACCTCTAAGCGAGGCGCTGAGAGCCTTGGCCAGCCGCTCACTCCCCCTCCACAGCCCAGCACTCCAATAAGCATGGGGGGGGGAGGCAGAGCAGACTGCGGTGACTGACAGTTCCACTCTCTGCTCAGAGCGGCTGTGAGAGCTCAGTGATGGCCCCTGGGCGGCTGAAAACTCATGGGGCCCCCGGGCAAAAGGGGATCATGGGGCCCCTGTGTCCTTGCCGAAACTCCAAAAAGCCTTTGAAAAAGGTACCAGGGGAATCTCATGGGGCCCCCTACTGACCCCGGGCCCTCGGGCAGTGCCCGCATTTCCAAATGGTCAGTCCACCCCTGGTCATGTATCACTTAGAACCGCAGGGGGACAGATGCAGGGCCGGTGTTAGACTATTTTGCGTCCTAGGCAAGAACAGCTACTTGCACCTCCCAAGAAAAAAAAAAAATAAAACCTCAAATAAAACTTCAAAATAAAACCTTGCCAATATAAGCTCTGTGTGCAGACTGACTGGGGAGCTGGGATGAAGTGATTCCTCCTAGATTGTAAGCTCTAATGAGCAGGGCCCTTTGTTTCCTCTTGCACCAA